GAGATCCGACACCGAGAGCATTCCAGCTTCGGCCGGCAGACCCCGTCGACCTGAGTGCCGATTGGGCGTGTAGTCACAACCTAGTCGACTTTCTGATCTGTACGTGTGAGGTGGACGTTTGGCTTATATGATGACTGCATTTCTGGGCCCTATTCAGAGGCTTTCACGGCTGTGCCTTTCTCGAGTTCACGCCACGGCTTTCCTTTCATAAACTAGCTCAGGGTCTCCCACGTCTGGTCTTCGGCATCTCCCGCCACATGAGGCGCTACTGAGCCATCCTCCACGGCCCCCGGAGGGTGTTCCATCCTTGCATATGAAGGATGTGGGAGCATTAGAATGTGCGAATACTCTTGTATTGGAAGATCCTCCCTCCTACGGATTCACGTTGCTGCCTACAGTCCACAAGTTGTCTGTTCTTTTGCGCAATTCTCATCGCAGGAAGATTCCTTGGCCTATAAATGAGTGCTCATCTGCATCCAAGTAAGCCACCCACAATCTGTGCTGTCAATCCCTACCAAAAGCTCGATGATACCAGTATCTATGATTATTTGCGAGACGTCATCATATTGCGGCCTACCTCTATCCTCAATCACTTGCGCAATAGAACCATTTGTCCCCAAATAAAATGTTTCGTCCAGATTTTAGACACCGGTAAGCACAGTTGGCCTGTGAAATTGCAGTCAAACATAGTGCTTATATAGGCCCAATAGGTATATCACTGCTGTTCGTCACCCGGGAAAAGGTCGACTACGACATCCCTACAATGCACTTCCCAGTCTTCATCTTCCTTGTATGTATGAAAATTATATGATATTATGATATCGATCGTTTATATTGTTATTAGCCTAGACATTTGCTTGATGGCAAACCATTCACACTAACCCGGGAACTCAACCATGCTGTCCGTCAGGCGCTTGCCCTTCGCCCGTGGGGACGTTGATAAGCCTCAGGATCGTCTGACCCCCGAACACGCGGATTCAGCACATCATACAAGCGCCCCGGAGCTTATTCGACACAGCGCTCGCACGCCTCTAGGCTTCTATGGGCTCTAAAAGACTTTTTCTATTTAGCTCCGGACTTCCCAACATCCTCGAGGCGTACTCGGACCCATTCCGCGATTTATCTCCGCGCACCGAAGCTCCGGAGTGACTTAACCAATGCGACTTCTAGCTGAATTAGCTCCGGGACCTTCGGACACTTCTATCGAGGGGCGTCTTCCTCATGCCCACCCTCCAGCACTTACTCCCCCTCGTTTCCGTCAAGATACCGAAGGTGCGGACGCATACGAGTCACCATAAGGTCAGCATGAGTCAGCAAACGGCCGGAGGTAATTAACACGTGACCGGCGTGTCGCACGGAGTGATGGGACCGCTTGGGTCAGGTGGCGAAGCGTCGAGGCGACCTATAGGGGCTGGAAAGAGCAAGTGGGAGCGCAAGAGAGTCGTATGGTATATGGTATAGCGGAGGAAAGTGCTGAGCAATCCTGTGGGTAGCGGCGTTTATTTGTTATTTATCTCCGAAC